AAAACGTGCTTTGCTTCCCCTCTTGATACTTCCACGTGCAGCTTGTGTTCCGCCTTTCTTACATGAGCCCTAAGTCACTAATAAGTAATGCGCTTTCTTTAGGGTTTGACAGTAAGTAGCGCCATCACGTCATGCCCCAAGCAGTCTACTGGAGTTTGAAACAGTAATGCAAATGAAGGATGCTCCTGATAGGGAAATATCCACATTGAATTCTCGGTGGATGGAAAAGTTGACTTCCGCAAATTTCAGGACTGCCATAGTGCTACGTAGGAAATCGGATCCAAGAATTATGCCTTAATGCAATTCCACATATATAGGAAATTTTAATATCCGGGTTTTCTGACCTACGATGTCATGCCATGGTAACTTTTCCCGTAGAGATGGCTGGATAATGCGTGTTTCTAGTCAGGTTTGACTGTCGATAGCGGCGCTGATTTCTCCAAATTGTGATGAATCCCTTCACGATTTGTCTCCATCTTCCCTGCCTCTTTTCACTACTCTTCATCCCCTTAACAACCTTCTTCATTCTCTTCTTTTTCTCCTCTGGACGATTCTTTGTAATTGCAAGACTACTATCTCCTGTCACATTTGCTTCTTTTTGTTCTGCCATTCAGCGTCTATATCACCCCGGAAGGGAAGTGGATGGATTGGAGAGCAGTTTGTGATAGATGAGGCCTTGACGAGGATAAGAAAAAGATAAAAAATTAATTGCTTAACTATAAAACCAATAGCCTAATGAACAAATCAACTAATAACTCATTTAATCAACAAACGAGTTTCTACCGGGATCGAAGTAAAGCTAGAAATCTGATCGACTAGTAGGTCTTAAAAGAGAAAAGAAGATAAACGCACATGTGTGTACTTAAAAAATGCACGGCTACAGGAGAAAATTTTTGACTAACATGCAACGACTAACAGAGAAAGCATGCATTTTTACTCGTTTCTGTGATGCGCCATTTGGTCTAACTGTCTAAAGGCAAAATATGAACCTCAACAATGAAGCAGGCAATTAGAGCGGAGGAGCTCAATGCACAATGCCAACGAGTTACCCACTCATTCACACACAAACAGAGCAACCTTAGACTAACGACTAGGAGGAAGGTACGCATTCATACCAGTTTCTGTGACAGATCAGGTATACAGACTGTCTGAAAGGACAAAGAATAGATGTAGGCAATGGAGTAAGCCTAAGTTCGGCTATCAAACGAATTGCAAACTATTAACGCATCGAGGTACTCACCTTTCCTCTCAAGAGTATATTGGGAGGAGAGACCAAATAAGTGGGGTCTAGGATGAGCTGAAGCAGTAGAAAGGAATGGGAAGCCTGAATGCCGTCATAATGAGAGGCAAGAGGCGATGACTGATAAAATACAGTCATTAGTAAAGTGCAGATAAGTCTACTCTACGTCCAGTCTGGCAAGTGGATAAGGGAGAAGCGATCACATGCAACAAAAAATGGATTAAACTTACCAAAATGACATTGCTAAAGAATGACGCAGGAGAAGGAGGAGGAGGAGATGGGAGAGAAGTAAATTGGGCTTCATAGGATGTCACGATGTGAAAATCAAACAGGAGGTGGGAAGAGAAAGGAGTTCTGGCCACACTGAAATGCAACTTATGAGAGTAAGTGCATAAAAATGCATTTGGCTATCGAAATCTATTAGATGTAGTCGAGACATGATGCAGGATGAGGTGTGGTGAATGCAGTAGGAGAAGAATGAGATACTCACAGAAGTGACAACGAACTGGAATTCGGGTACCAAAGAGGAGACATGGGATTTTACTGCCTCCGTCTGTTCGAATATATCACATGGCCCTACCAGTGTACACTGTACCCTAATATCTGCGAGACAAAGTTGGAAAGCCTCATTTTACCTCAACACCTTTCTAGCCCTATTTCAAGTAGCAAATGAAGGAGCCCTTGAATATTGGGCATGGAAGCAGCTACGAAGTATAAATGATGAAGCAAATGGCTCAGTCTAGTCTAACCTAGATAAGCCTAATCTAGCCCAACGTAGCTTAGCTTATTACCGTGCTTCTACAATGAGCAAATGACACAGCAAGTAAACATGATTCAGTGCATCTGCTACTGATTTCACGTTTATAAAGCGCAGTAAGAAGTTTCCTCGAGATGATTGATGTATGAAGAGAAGGAATTGGCTACTCCTTCCCAAATATTGCTACAGAATTGTCAAATGTTAGTTCTTGGTAAATATTTCTAATCTTGTGCCTGCGTAAATTCCTGCCCCCCACTATAGAGGAGAGTATGGGTGATTTGACCTCACCGGTGGAGGCGAAGAACAATACTTGTTCAGCTAAAAAGCAAAAAAGAGTAAATAAAGAGAAAGTAAGGAATGGGAAAGTCAGAGAACAGTAGAGATGAAATGCGTGAATATGAACTGGTGCTGTGCACAGGGTGGGTCAATTTAGAACAGTTTTTATGATAAGGTACAGCGTTTTAATTTAGTTACTTCTTCTATATGTTTATATGTTCATTCATTCCTTCATCTACCTCTCTGCCCATGCAACCGCCGTATACATAAATAACAAAAAGAATCAGAATAACTATGAAGTTGGCGCATTTGCTGTGGGCAAACAGACCTCTCTTGACATGTCTATTTAATAACGCTGCCATCCGAGACAACAGAGGGGAAGAGATGTCATGGCTCACGCTTAATTTCTATGAATTCCATCCGTTCCCTATGCTTTGGCCTTTTGACGTGCTTGGAGCGTAGGAGGGAAAAGTTATGAATAATCAAAAGGGCACACTCTGCTAGAATGAACCTAAGCAGGAGGGAGGCGCTGCAGGTGAACTGAATTGTAAGGAGAATGACAACATGAGGGATTGCTAGAGAGACCAGAAGATATCGTGTTTCAAAAGTGTCTTGCGCAATTGTGATTGAATTCTTCCCCATCGACGCGTGTAGGAATCGATCGGCGGCACATGCCTCGTGTGGCCTGTCGCGTGGTCAACGGTAACAAGGATTTGACACCAGAATTGATTTGCTCCCATGCCTCTTCGTCTTGGCTTAATGTCTGACACTAGAGTTCATAACGAAGAGATTGAAATGGGAATAGGCTTTGCTTTGGCACTTATTTTTGGCTTCGCCTACGATTTTGATTTTAATTCTGGTTTGAATTTGTATCAGAGCTTTTGAATGCCGCTGTGCTGTTTGGTTGCAGCCGTAGACATGCATACGTCCATTACCCTAACCACACCCACAGCTCTACAATTTTCAATGAGTCACTGATGAATTGCCTTCTCTATTGGTATGTCCCTTCACATTAACTCGAACAAAACAGCGAGGCACATTCATTGATGTAAGAAGTGAGAAGTGGGATAAGAAGCGAATTGCATATAGATAAAGCATTACTTGGTAGCCTTGGCACATTTTTAAAGCGGCATTTTACTGAAGGTGGCTATCTTTTGCAGATAGGTGAATTCTGGGACAGTTACTACGGATGATGTAAAGGC